ACCATTGTATTTTAAAACTGTGTCTAGTCATATACAGCAGGTCTAATATTTTAACACTGACCAGACGTCCTTACAAGAGTAGCAAACGGCGAAATGGCTCCCTGAAAATAGCACGAGGCTCCAGACAATGTTTGCGTTCACTGCTTTTCCGCCCTTCAACGAAGAGGACCTGTCGCTCGAATGTGAGCATCTTACGGACTACATCAAATATTGCTTTGAAATGTGTTGTCCTGTTGAAACGCTTTATCTAAGAGCAGGTGGTTTTCATCACCACTACTAAAGCGACTTCGAAGGATGAAAGTATCAGTCTACAAGTGCAAGAATGCTACCCGTATCAAAAGCCTAACCACAGCAAGTAAGTCCGAGATATAAAGACTAAAGCAATTATAAGTTGAAGCAGTTCTAAGCAACCATAACTGTCGCGATCTATGGAGGCTTCTGCGGCAGCTATGTGGTAAGAGCACTTGTAGCCAGAGTGGGGAAGTGGATGTGGATAAACTGAATTCGGAGTTTAGTTCCGCCTCATTAAGCTTATCTTCTTTGCCCTCCTGCAGTAGCTTAAGTCCAGCTGCGCCCTTCGATCAAAGCAAAGTGCAAAAGGAAATCCAAATATTAAAGGCAAGCAATCTTGTGGTCCGGATGCTCTCCACTCATTGGCTTTGAAGGGGTGTGCTGATGCTCTCCACTGCCTTTAACAGATCTCTTTAACTAATGCATCACTACGGGTGTGATCCCTGGACATTGGAAAACGGCCAGTTACACACCAGTACCAAAAAAGGGATCTCAAAAGTACTGTCCAGTTGCATGTGCATCTGTGCTCCTAATAGTTTTAGAAAGTCTGTTAATTCCGCGGATTTTTTCAGCCGCACCTGAAGAGGATACCTACCAATTTGTGTATAGACCGCAGCGCTCCCCGTTGGATGCAGTGGATGGTGTTCATTCTGTAGCCTCTGCATTATGTCAGAACTGTAAATCCGTACAGCTTCTCTTATTGGATTATACGTATGTCTTTGGAAGCATGAATAGGTCAATGTTGCTAAACCTGCTATCTGAAAATGGAGTTCACCCTGGTGTGTGTAATCTGTCACGTGACTATTTTACAGATCGTACTCACTTCACCAAATTGAACGGTAAGAAATCCTCTGTCCTCCGTGCCGACGGTGGGGTTCTACAGGGATCGATCCTATCACCGTTTCTATTTTCCTTGTATATTGAACATCTCCTTATACAAACCACGTTTATAGAGCGTAAATATGCTGATGATTTTGTGCTGCGATGTATGTCCCCACTAACCAGAGGTGTAAATGCTGAAAATGAACATATTAGGGATCATAAAGTTTATTTTGCCTTGACTTGACTTGATTTCCGAAAGTAAAATTGTTGAAACGCTCCATGGTATAGACTACCGCGAGCATCTTCTCAATCACCGCATAGTGCTACTCGGTCACGGTGAGTGCTTGACTACGGAAATCCGAAGGATTTCCATTCTGTATGAGAATAGCACGTATTGCGTCCTGACTACTGTCACAATGCGCCTCCAAAGGCTTCACTGGAGCGTGATAACCGAGTACAGGGGCGTTGTTGTTGTTGAAGTGCTTAATGGTTTCGAATGCGATTTCATGTTCCTTTCCCCAACTCCACTTTACTCCTTTGTGTGTTAAATTCCTGCTCGCCGTCATGATATCAGCGAGCCTTGTCATAAAACGACTCAAGTAGTTCGTCATACCATTTAAACGGTGGATTCATTTCACATCTTTAGGGAGCGACATCTCTTGAACTGCCTTAATTTTTTCTGGATTGACCCTGATACTTTGGGTTGTTAGCACACGTCCAAGGAAATCACCTCGTCCTTCCGCATTTCAATTTTCTCACGTGTAAGCTTCATGTTCTTTTTCACACAACACTGCAAGAAACGGCGAAAATTAGCGTCGTGCTCTTCTTCTGTCAAGCTATGGATCAAAAGATGGTCTGCCATGTAGTTTCACCATGTAAATCGTCTACCCATTGTACCAATCGCTTTTGAAAACTTACTCGGCACCCTCAAACCAAAACGGTAAACGCACCCAACGAAAACGCCCGAACGGTGTGGCAAAGGTAGCAAGGAAACTGGATTCGTCATCTAAAACCACGTGTCAGAATGCCGAAGAGAGGTCTACGTTCGTGAAACACTTAGCTTTGGCCAAACGCGGCAAAATGTCATCTAGGGTAGGTAGCGCCTATTGCTCTCTATGCCGAGCCTCATTCAACGGTTTCGGGTCAATACACACACGCAATTCGCCCGCCTTCTTCGTAATGATGGCGACTTGGCTAACTCAGTTGGTTGGCCCGTCATCTTTGGCAATTACACTCAGTCTATGTGCTATCCGTCAACCTTTCCTATGCAGCACGAGCTCCCGTCGCTCTGGACGCCACCATGCCACCTGCCGTCCGCCACCATCAACGCAGCGGTGGTCACAAATTGATCACATAGCCATAAGTCTCAAGTGGCACGGCGGCATACGCGACTGCCCATTGCATTGAAACCGATGACGCATTGGTGTGTGCAACAGTTAGTATACGTTTCGGTTGCTCACCTAGGACTAAAGCAACCCGAGTGAACACTTACAAGTTTGGAGACTCAGAGGTTAAAATAGATTATCAACAGAGGCTTCGTGAAATTCTCGCTCTCTGCCATACTCTGGATGTCTACCAACACTGGTCATATCTGCAACAAGTCATGTGGTTCACCGGCTTATCCCGCTGCGGTCTTGCCAGCTACACAGCCACAAGCTGGACCAAGGCAACATCCTCGGATTTGCTAGATCTTCGATGGGATGTGACTGCTGGTGCGGAGCACAACGAACTCCGTCGGACAATCAACAGCTGAAAACAAGCCTGCCCTCTGACCGTAAATCTTGGTGGTCGCTGAAAAATTCCACAGTTTATTTTACCATATCAGGACCACCAGTTGCAATTTACACGCCAAAAGTAAGACAAGCTGTGAGTCAGACGGCACGAAAATCACCAATCTACGCAGGCGCCTGGAGTACTGGGCGGAGCACTTTGCCCCCAATTTCACTATCCAGCACAGTCTCCGCTGACACCCCCATCTCCCTCGGATGGTGCTTGGCCTGTCACCACCGATCCTTCCGCTAAAGCGTGGATCCCAAGAGTAATCCAATCATTGCAACGTACGAAAGCTTCCGGCCGTGGCAGCCTACCCCCGGCCCCGACAGCTTACACCCGGTCCTATTCAAAGATGGCAGGAATATACTTGTTGGCGAAATCCTATCGCTGTCCACGAAGGATTGGACCGACGAGAAGGTTTCAAACTCAGGAAGAATATCGGTCATTGTTACGATTCACATGAAAGGATACCGCGAAGATCCCGTCAATTACAGTGGAATTACGTTGAGCTTTGTCACTTTCACGGTTTTCGTGTCCGTTCTACTTTGCACACTTTCAGCGACTAGAGAGGAATTTTCATGAAGGGAACAGCACGGTTTTCAACCATGCAGAGGTTGCATCGACCAAATCACAACACTTCGGCAACTTTTTGACCGCCGCGATGTCCCCGACGGTCAAAATTGTAGCGTTCTTGGACATCCGAGCAGCCTTTGATTTAGCAGATAGATCTGCGTTGTGGAACTTTCCACCGAGAAAAGGTACGCTCGACAACATTTTAACCATCCTGAAAGAACTGTACACTCACACGTCGGGCCTCTTTCTTCTCACATTCCATGTTTCCGCGATCAATCGCCCTCAAGTTTCTGTATAACGACCCGCTAACACGTGGTCCGTCACTGCAACTAGCACTTAGCTACCATGGTATTTGACACGAGTTGTCAACATTCCTCAAGGTCTCTTTGTAACGGCAAATGCAGGAACACATTTTTATAACTTCATTTAGTGCCATTGCAGACAAAAGGCTGTTGTGTATCCCTGATTGGGAGGCCGCATTGTGCGACGCGAAATCAAGACGCTTTGAAACGAAGAGGTCAATGAAAGTGAGCCACAGGAAGATCAGTGATGGCTATTTAGTATACAGACTTATGAAATGTGTCATACGAGCGTATGGCTTCCTTACGTGTCCAGCCATTGGTTTATAATGGTACTGCGTCACGAAGGTTTGTAATGTTGATAGCACGTACTTCAGAAAATGTGACTCCACTCGTTGTCACTCAGAGAATTGGCCGAATCCCCTCGAGGTACTTCGGAATACCAACGTCCCATAGTTTGTTTCACGTAGACTTTAATTAGACTCCAGATGCCTTCAATCAGGTTCAGCGATGGCGAATATGACGTCTTTCCAGGAGTCATCCTAGGCAATTATTTTCCTCTAGGAAAATATGTTTCAGATCTAAGGGGTAGGATGATTTTCACAAATCAAGCGGTGAGTTGTAGTACAGGTGGTGCCGCTAGAAGCAAGCGTTGGCCTAAATCGTCGCGCACATCTTGTTTTGTTGTAACTCCCTATTAGGACTTGATATCCCAGCAGTTCATTCGCAGTCAGGGCGCTGAAATAGTGCAGATTCTAGCCACTAGTGTGGAGAACACCGAGAACACCGCGCATGGCTACCAGGTGCTGAAACCCCACTAGGTGAACGCAAAACTGATGGAATTCAGTGTCATAAATCAATACTTTTTACCGGTTTTCAGCCTCCAAGTTCAAAGTTGGTTTCATCTGAGGCCGCACACCGATGTCAATAATAAACTTATAGCCAGCATTTCAGTGTTATATTTCAACGCCTTGACCTATGTAGCCGTTGCGACCAGGTTTCCAGCAGGCCAGTTGCTAACTTCGATGTCATGACTAATAGCACAACACAAGCAGTGGGTTACCGTGCAGCGCCGATACACATGGATTACTGCGTTGTGTTAATCCCCCCTCAGCATTGGTTGTGTGGAACTGGTACGTAACGAACCTCGAGTGGGACGTCAAACACAATGCATGGTTAATGCTAATTTTGCTGGATAAATCAGTCTTGAATATAAACGCCGCTACATTTCTACCGCGCATCCTATTCAAGCTCAAGGCACACACCCAGTTCTTCATGTACATCACTCAGCTGCTGTTTTTCCTCTGGCAACCGTCTCTTCGTCTTGTTGAAATTGCATGGTGAAGTGTAAGTTAGCTTCCCTCCCAGGGATTTTTGATGGGAAGTGAACTCGACCGATTTACATTTTAATTGCACTTCTTTGGCAAAAGCGTGAAGCTGAAAAGGAAAGCGGCAAATATACGGAAGAAAGTTACAATCATACCTTTAGAGGAAATTTCACATGAAACTTAACTAAGAACTCATGGAGCACTACGTGAGCTGGAGAACGAATGAGGAGCAGCCTGACCACCATGCTACGTCGTGTTTGGTGGGGCAAAGCGGACAGCAGCAGTGTGCCGGCACTTCGTACTGATGCTTCACTCGTTATGTTACCGCCAGCAGATTAAAATGATGCAGGAGCATCCAAATCGCTGGAGAAAAGGAGCTCCGAAAGTGGAGCGTGCCTGGAACAAGCAGGATACGTGACACAGTATGCCACGGATCCGCCTCTTAGGGTGCCACCACATTCACAGTTACAGCATCGATTGAATGGTGTGTTATAAGCGAACCATTGAGCTAAAACGCGATAAAGTTAAGATCACCAATTAGTAGTGCGAGCAGATTTCACTGAATAATCCTTCAATGAAAGACAAGGGCTCGATGGATGTATGAAGTCACAGGGATATATTCGGATACACCATAACTGCTGTTGCAAACCCAGTTTGTCGGCTAAATTCTCTGTTAACTATGGCCGATGGATGCAACAAATACTACGAATGAATGATTGATGGAAAACGGTGCACACAACTGGCGTATCCTATCATACAACCACACCTATTCCTGTGCGTAGGAGCTGTGTTCTTTGCAGTAAATAAAGATTCTTCAACAGCTTATCTGACAGCCACTTTAAACAGCACTTTTTGCATTTGAAAAAGCTTACCCGCTCTATTCGAGTAGAATTTCCCGAGAATTTTTCCACTGGTAAATCAAAGTACTCTGCCACCATCGCGTTAAAGTTATTGATCCACTTTACGACATCCTCTAGATGGCGCTTCAGTTTCTTATTTCGCTGATTTGCCTCACGGAGTTCACATTGGAGCGCAAGAAATTTTTTGCTGTCATTCATTTCACGGCTTTCCAACTCACTCATGTAAGCCTGTAGAAGAGTGCATGGTATTGGTAATAGATTACGTGCAACATCATAATTGGCATGTACGAAACATCCTGGGATTCATCCGTCAAGGGTGCTTACGACGCAGCTCTCCACTTTTCAGAACTCCAACCCTATTGGACAGTAGACCTAGCAAGTGTACAGACAAAACAAGTTCCAGAGTATATCAAGTGTTGGGTTACAAATCTGCTCTAGATGTAGCATTTCGGTGAAGTAGCGTTACCCGGGGGTTACATTGTGAGCTGAGTTGGTCCACCGAGTGCTGCACGATCACAGATGTGCACAGCTGTTTTCACAGGTCGGTCGTGAAGTAACAGAACTGTTTGTTACAGACTACTGCAAATGGAAAAGCGAAACCCGTGTTTGTTTCAAATAGCTGAGCTCATGGTCAACAGCTGGTTGTATCCGTGGTGTTTTGCACAGCTGAGTTCACAGAATCACCATGCAGTCCATGCTCTTGGGGTTAAAAAATGGGAAACAACTCTGGGCCACTCCCAGTGACAATGAAGAATTCAGCCGTCAGTTTGCAGCCTTCTCTTAGGTGAATGCATAGAAGTCAGCTGAGTACATTTTCGGTGGAACTGGTTGGAAAGCTAGTGAATACAGAAAAGTTATTCTTACATTTTCTTGACACTGTGGCTACATTCAATCTAGCCTTAGGGCAGCGTCGCGGTGTAACAAACGTTTTTTTGTATGCATGGGCAAAAGAAGCAAGCACGCGTTAAAAGATAAGATGCCTGTACTTAGAAACACTTGGAGGACCCAAGGCTTCCCATTTTCTTTACCGATCTTTCTACCTTAGACTATGTATCACACGTGTTTGCTTACTTCCACGGCCTCCAGTTTCGTCGTTAAAACAGAGTGTTTGCTGACAGCAGCATCACGTTCGTTGATGAGTCGAGCAATCTCCTGTTGCGAATGGTTCTTGACTGGGCCTGTTTCATGCTGGGGTTCACATTCAGTCCTTTCCTGAAAGCAAATAAAATTTCATGAAATACTTTATGAGGTGAGGGATGTTGACTTGGGTCTGTACTAAACTTTTCATAGCACGCCTCAGACCATCCGCATCCTGAAAGCAAAAGTAGTTGTTTTAATTTGTTTGATACTGTGCAAAGCTATAAATAGTATGTAGCACTTTGGTATGCAGAAATCGTGATAGAGCGGCGATTATTAAAGTAGCTGAGAGTTTCGCGTATTAAGAAGATCGAAGCAACAAATTATTTGTTTGCAAGGAACCCCAGGTTATTGATGAAATAGTCCTGCTTAGTAATTACCAATTCCTAATGTTGCTGGATTTGATTCAGTAGTATTGATGGAAACTTTCTCAATACAGTGGGAGCTAGCCAAAACGCAATACTAAGTGGTACAACGCGGCTGTTTGTTACATGAGCATCCGTGAATGGTGCGGTATTTCGAGGTGCCGTTGACTTAATTCTGACCTTGTTCTTGTGCTACCGAGCCGATTACGAAAATTCGTCCGTGATCGAATTGGAGTCACCCTTCTACACCCCTTGCTTACTGCAAACTTTAACGCGTGTTTCCAACACAGCATCCGTTAGATAGTTGGACGGTCCATCAAGAAAGTATCCACCCTATCATTATCAATAATCAAGTTGTTTTTACACTGTAGCAACTATTTGAAACATAAGACTTTATGATTACCATTATGAACCCGGAGAGCTATGTTTCTGAAATCTAACCAATGCGTGCGACAGCTCCAAATGCTACATTGCGTCACTTAACATCGCAGATCCAGTGCGTTTCCCATCATGTCCAATGAGCATAGAACTTTTAATTTAGAACCAGATCCTTAAGTCGAGCAGATGTGTTTATTTCCTAAAAGGGTACGAAGTGGCTCCTGCATTAGCAACGGAGACACACACACTAAGGCGTCAATACATGACGATGACATTTACGCAGCGACCCTACCATGACGCGCCTCAACTCGAATCGGTCACATGTATGTTATCCACTATTCAGCTTTGACGCTAGCCGAACACATCCTGGAGTCTGGGGTGGGCGAATTGTCAGAATGGTGAAAACGTTTTAGTTACAACCGCCCTAATCTTTATTAGTGGAAGCCATGTGAGCATTGTTAAGCACATCGGATAGACATTGATGACTATCGTGCCTGAACAAATAACTCAACAGCACACTCGAGCACTGCCACTGCACTGTCGGCCGGTGGCCGAGTGGTTTGCACGTTTGCTTTGCAACCATAAGGTCACCGGTTCGAATCCGCGAAGGGGTGGGCGTCCTCGCGGTATACTCAGCCCGCGCGCGACTGGTGGTGGTCGTGCGGCAGCGAAGCGCCATTACGGCGTACAGCTGACACATTATTTATTATTATTTTATTATTTTAGTCTGCATCAAAAGACTGAAACAGAACGTGCATACGCGTGGCAGCAGGCAAAGCAGCAAACCTAGAAGGTTTTCTTTCCTCACAATATGAGTCATTACCCAACATTTTGAAGCCTAAGGATATGTGGTGGATGACAGAAGGTGGAAAAACAATGATCATTGTGATTGCAGGCGGAGTTGCAGCCAACAACAATCTTTTAGCTATGGCTCTCTCCTATCCCTGCACTCCACTGGAGTGCAGGGATAGGAGAGAACCAAACCGAAACCCTCCACTTCGGTGACGGTCCCAGTGACCGTATTGGCAGAGGCTGACTTCAAAGTCAACCGCCGCCACTAGTGAGATTGCGCGTCGCAATCCATGACACACGGCGGATGCTCCAAATACCCGAAAATCTTTTAGATACTGTAGCCAAATTGGTAACAACGGACAATGAACAATGAATTTATACGGGTTAAGAAGCGTTGATTTGCAAGTCCCGTTGGATAGTTGGTGGGGATATCTAAAAAAATAATGATATTAATGATAGTAAACAGTTAGTACTGCAAATATGAAAATAGGAACTTATTGCTTGTTCCGCCGTAGTCCTGCAATCCGTTTAGATTCGCATCACCCACAGTTAACATCAACTAATTCCATGGTCAACTCCATGTGTAGGATGGAGACGTAGTGCTAAGTAACAAAGTGTAAGTGGATGAGAGTGTCATCCAATCACCTTTTAGATACTGTTAGTGTCGGTGCAGAGACGACCGATTGTGGGAGAGCATGCCACGGGTTACAGACACGAATAACAAAGAAATTGCTGTGGCATTCCAGACGGCTATACTGTACAGCGAGTTTTAGTGAGTGGCCCCTCAGGGTTGTATTGGTGCTGAGTCACAGTACAGGGCGGCACACATGATGTGGGTCTCTCAGAATCAAGTATGCCATGATCAGGTCGCCTCGTAGCCTGCGATAAATTCCACTGAATACCCCAATCGTTGCAGCCTCTCCTGGTATGAAAGATTGCGCATTCCAATTTCGTTCTTAGATGTCCGACGTTGTGGCTGCTCCAGTGCATTAACGTCCTGTTTCAGCCATGGATGCCATGCTTGGATTGAGTATTCGACATGGGGGCGATCATAAACACTGAGCATTTGTCAAAATATAGAGCTGATTGTTTGTCCAAACGCCCGTCGCAACAGCACGACATGTTGGTTCCCAGTCTTCGAAGCCTTATCGGATTGCCGAACAACCTCCTCGTGGTGCCAGCTGGGTGGTTCGGGATTTTCCCGTTCGAGCAAATGGTTCGGCGGCAATGTTCCAGGACGTGGTGGGTTTTCGCCTGGCAAGCGTTCTCCCTATAAAAAGCCACAAATGTCCGTTTATGACCACTGTGACGTGGCGGACGTGACTTGCCACTAAATACAGTCACTGCCCCTTGCTTCATCCTGGCGGAGCATTGTATTCCAGCAAGTTTATGCTGTAATTTTGGGGAGCATTAGGCCCCTGTTTGACAAAGGAACAAACGAAAGGCGTATGAACTGAGCAGTCAGGCACCGGCTCCCAATGGGCGCGATTCCCTGAATTCGCTCCGCTGCCTTGCGAGCAGGCTATTCAGCCAAAGGCTCGGGGTGGTGTCCCCTAAGTCAACACCCTACTTCGGCTTGGGCAACCAGGTAGTATCTCGCCCTTTGACGAAACCATGGATTTTGATGTGTTGTGTTGTGTTTTATTTTACTATTTCTGTACCTTGTGTTTGAATACCATGGTTTACGATGGCTCAATGTCTATTCATAGACGGTTGCAAAATATATATATATACCCAAGTCATCTTGAACCAGGACACCCAAGTCACGTTCGGGAGTTGATTGTTTTAGTATATTCGTTCCGAGCTGGTATGAGTAGCTGCTCTGATGTCGGATGGAAAGTACCTTGCATTTACTCACGTTGAAATGCAGTAAGTTAACCATTCATACCACCATTCATACACCGTATCTATGCTACTCTGAAGAAGATGCTGGTCGGTGTTTGCCTAGGTCCTGCGCCAGACCTTTATATCGCCGGCAAACATTACGAAGTTTGAAGCGCTTCCTCGTGCAAGATCATTAATAAACACCAAAAACAAACGTTGACCTAGAATCGAGTCTTGCGGCACACCGTACTCGACTTGTATGGGGTCCGACACAGAGCTCCGAACTCTGACCACTAATTGCCGTTGAAGTAGAAAGTTGACAATCCAGCTAAAAGAGACTCGCCGATCCGGCAATACAGGAGCTTGGAAAATAGTATCAGATCGTCTAGACGATCGAAAGCCTTGGAAAAACCCAGATAGATCACATCAACGCCTTCTCCAGCGTCAGCTGCCTCGGTCCAACTACTGCGTGCAATTACTAGATTAGTTGTACATAATCGCTGGCGACGGAAACCGTGCTGCTCAGGCGTGATGATGTTAGTTTTGCAGACAACATACCAGTGCATCGGTAACTATGGATTCCATGAACTTGGACAGTATAGGAAGAAGGGATACCTGGCGGTAGTTGGAGGAATCAGTTCTGTTTCCACCTTTGTGAATCGGGGTTATTATTCCAAGCTTCCACCTAGCGCGAATTTTGTTCAGATCTAATGTAACGAAATCGAAACCGCCATGGGTCGTTTTAAAGACTACTTAAATGATCTCTTTCTTTTCTCTTTCATTTGCAGATTCTCGAGAAACCGCAGATATATGAAAACGTGCGAAGGCACTTTACCGACCCAAAAACTCTGACATTCCCTTTTTGTTTTGATTGTCTTATCAAGATCCTGTACACTCCTCTGTTTTTCCTGTTATGGATAAACGTGCTTCCTCCGTGTCTGCTCGTTTTGCCCGTGTCACACTTGCGTATTGCGATTCTGTGAGTGCCCGGTTGCTGTGTGTGCTTCTCGCGTCGTGTGTCCGCTGTGATTGACCGTGCTGCTTTCTACCGCCGTTGATTCGTTCCGTGCCCGTTTTCCAGCTTCCGCCGGTACCCCATTCCAGGAACTCCGTTACACTAAACAGCGCTGGAAAAAGTGAGCTAAAGGTCCTGCCAGTTGGTTTGCTGCTGCTTCCAATGCTTCTGAACGAATGCTGTTGAATCCCGGAGATCTATGTTTGCGTAGAGACGTCTGCTTTTGCAATATAGCCTTCGCGGAGAAAATTTCTGTGGGTTAATCCTGGCGATGAGACGACGAACGTTGGAAGATCACTCGGTAGCAAGACTCTTTGAAACGTGGGAGCATATTACATCCGCAGCGAGCTAGCTGCTTTCACAGCCGTTCCTGTTGGGCCATCAGCCATCCTGAGTGGAGGAAATCCTTGCCTTATCTTTCGTAGACTGTTGACGTGCTTGTATACAGCAGTTCGTGGTTAGCACTAAAGGTCTTTTCGATGTTCTGTTGATAGGCGGATTTATCTTCTCTTAGCGGTTGAGTGCAGTGGTTACATTGGGCCACGTAGTTGTCCAAAGTTTCTGGTGCTGGAGCTTCTCTGTACACTCACCATGCTTCGTTGTGTACTGTATTCCATTTTTGAGTTATTCTCTTAATGAAGGAAACTGATGTACGCTTATTGCAAACTGTTGTTTCAGAAGTCTCTGCAACCAGCTGACTGAAGTTGTTTACGAACTCGAGCCAGGCGACTTTCAAGGTTTCCTCGACTAACTTCAAATGTTGTCCTGATGTCTCTGCAGTTTGTAACGCATTTTGCTCGTAAACGTAACGACGGTGTGTGTATCCACATTCAGTCAGTTAATTGAATCATGCTGGCCTTCAATCCAAACCGATTCATATATTCTGTTCGATTGACACATGCAGGTAGGACGGACACACATACAAACGATTCACGGATCGTTAGTGGACTACGTTTTAACTCATGAAGTAATAGACGGATTGTATGCGGCAAAGGTTAATGTTCCGTTTAGTGAACGATACACAAGATAGGAGGAAGTAACAATGGCCTGAACATAGCAGACCTCGTAAAATTACGGGTTTCTCTCCAAACGATTTTGCTGGTACTTAACAGTTATGAGCAAATGTGCTTACTTTCGACCCCAAGCAAGTTAGAGACAATCGTCATGAAGTATTTAAACAAAAGGTTGCTGCTGAAGAAGCAGTCACCCACTTTTTCTCCAAGTACTTTTTTCAAACGTCCAATTTCTTCCGTCTTCGCCTTCATTTCTGCTTCCATGATAGACTTCAGGTTGGTAGCTTCCAGGCTTAATTTTTTTGCCTCCACGGTAGCTAACTCGGCGCGTTTGATGGCCTGAAGTATTTCTTTGTGAAAAAGTTGTTGATTCTCATGCATTCTGCAATGTAAATAAAAGATTTTCGGCTCCGAGGATAAAAGTCGTGCATAAAGATAACAATGGCGACAACTGTGCTATGTATATTCACATATCTACAGTTTTTGAGGGTCTGTACTTAATGCGCATCGGGTGCTGGCCAAAGACCATCATTCAGCGGACAAGAAGCCATGTATGTGTGTATGGTACCTAACCAAGGCGTCTACCGGGAAGTCTGTTTCATGACTACAAAAGTATTAAAGTAAAGTGCCTAAAACATAAACCATTCCCGTGCTTCGGTCACGTGTATGGGATACAACGGAATATGGAATAATTACCCATTATGTTAGAGATAGTCGACACGAGGGTAGTACCCATTGCTGACCCAAACAGCTTTGGAATGCGCTGACTTATGTAGTACTGGTATTGTGCCCTCAGGAGCAAATTACAGCATCAAGTTCCACAACTAACCCGGTGCTACGATATCCTTGGCACCGAGCAGCCTCTTATGATGAGCGAAAACACAATGTATCGATTAGTTGCAACACTAGTACGTGGACACTGCTTTATAAAAGCGTAATCTGTAAGCCTGGGTTGATAATGTTGGCGTGTAAGTAACGTGCACAAAGATATCAACAGCATCGATAGTTTGAACTGATTGCCTTCATCTCATATTTTACGCTTCAGTACTGAAATATGGTTAGCGGCATCCGGTTCCGGATTTTATTGTCAACGCGACCTCCATAGGATAGCCACAGAACGCCTGCGCCAAGTGAGGGACCATAGGCGGCTTGCGCTGCACCACCCACAGCTCCATCCACACACCCTATATCCAGTGTAAACCCGATGGAAGAAGACCGGGAGGCATGTGGATGGGAGCCACGTTACATCAACGGAGTCGGCCCACACTCCTTCAACATGCACAGCGGCAACATTCCTATCTATCTATGTGCAGAATTATGGGTAGCAGACGTACACAAGACGGTGATTGGACCGTAGTCCGCGCCACACTGAGTGCATGGAACCACACTTTGCGCGTAACACCATCACGAGGATCGCGCACCCCGTCTGATCCGGCAACGACCAAGTGTCTCCTGGGGCAGTATAGACGAGATGGTGGGTAATAGACAGGTAAGCACCTTGTCAACATTCACATCAAGCGCAACCACATCGGGGATATAAATCAACAACCAGTACCTGAAATTCAAGAAACTCGGCACGCAGACACAACTACAGACCAAGTGCAACGTTGGTGCAGCACAATTACCACATCAACCGTCCTATTGGCCTGAGTTAGGAAATCGAATTGATGCGGATGCAACGCACCTACCAATCGTTGTGCTGCTTTTGTTTATATGATCACTTGCATGTTCGACTTTGGATGCTGGCCCCAGGTGGACCCGCAGGTGGCTTCCCAAGCCAGCTTGGCTCAGACACTCGCAAAATTATGTGTTACAGCACTATCCGGTTGACGTCGATGGGATAGACTCCATCCACGCCTGTTGCTTCATCAACCGACGTTTCCCTTAAGCATGCAATGGTGACTGTTTCTGCACCTGGGAACCGTCCACTTGATAAGCTCTCGCCAACTGCGCCGATGAACTGCCTTTTATTCTCAAGACTTGAAATCAAAATTATTTTGTGATAAGCTCACCTTTTTCATATCCCGGTAACGTAGCTGCGATTTTCCACGTGCCGTTTCGCTGCACACGGTTGACAATTCAGCAAGTGTTTCGGCATCGGGGTCGAATCCATGTGGCTGCTATACTCAAACTTCCTTAGATACCGCAGCAGAGGCTTGTAGTCCATTGCATACATGCCACTGCGGCAGAACACCTCCATGTCTACAACACGGTCACCCCAACGGATGCACAGAATCCGACACAGGCACTGTTCCTGAAAGCGCTCCATATGTAGGACGTCCTTCCGATAAAGCGTCCAACTTGCACTACTGTATAGGAGAACAGATAGAATAACCGCCAGGTATACCTTCAATTTTGTCCCAATGGAAGGATGATGAATGCTCTGCTCCCGACTTTATCTTTCCAAAAGCGAAATCCGCCTTCCATACGTGCATATATGCGGCTCGCCCGTCATCTGTAGGTTCGTAAACAGTACGCTTCTCAGGCCGCAAACTCTCGATAAGTTCTCCAAAACTTCGTCAACATCCTGGATTTGCGTCGGACCAACTGATTCCATGTTTAGTGACTGCTTTAAAAGACAACCAGTTATGTTTGTGTTGATGGTGAGTCCGAATTTGGCAGCTGCCGAAACGAGAGCCGAACTCATGCGCTAAAACTCATCCGCGCTGTGTGTAAACAACTCACAGGCGTTAGCAAACAGTAGCATACGGATGGTTATCGCACACACTCCAGTTCTGACCCCAAAAGGACGGATGTCCAGGAACTGAGTATCAATAAGATGTTCCACACGGATAACTTAATCACATGCATTAGCAAAAGTACAAGACATCATTGCATTCAGGTAAATAGTAGGCAGTACAAGGGCTAAGACACAGCCTGGCTTCAAAACAGAGACAACCTCAAAGCCATCCGAGGTTTCTCCACACAGCTGCACCTTCGCCCGCATACCACTGTGCAGACATTCAATTAAACTTACAAACTTATTCGGACAACCAAACTTATCTGAACAACATCCCAATTTCTCTTCTGCCACTTTCGGTTCAACGACCTGAGTGCCGAGGCGGTTGAGCAGGATTCACCCTATCACTTCCCCACACAACTCATCAAGTTGAGGCCACGATAATTCATGCAACAATGTTTGTTCCCTTTGCTTATGCACAGTGGTATGAACGATGAACAATGATCTTAGACGGGTTAAAAAGCATTGCTTTATAAGCCCCATTGGGTATTCTGGTGGGTTATCGAAATATGTCAATGAAAAAATGCAATTAACAGTTCCACTATCAAAAGAATCAAGGTATCGTGTGTGATCCAGTAGCCCAGAACTCCAAGTGTTACTATAGCTGAAATAGACGGAAAATGAATCCAAGGTATTTCCCTAAAGTAGGATGGAGAGTAGCGTCAAGTAACAAAATGTAAATGGCGAGGAGCGTGATCAAATTTTTAACTATGACTAGTGTGGGTGTACTAACAACCGATTCGGGAAGAGCGTTTCATGGTTGGCACACACGAATGGAAAAGATATTTCTACGACACGCCAGACGGTTGTACTGTTCTGTTAATTTCAGGTAGTAGTCTCTAAGTTTGGTGCTACTGCTGTTGTAGTACAGAGCGGCACACACAATTTGGATTGCGTAAAATCAAGTACGTCATCCACAAATCGCCTAGTAGTCGGTGATAGCACCCACTAAATGCTCTCAAACGTTTCATTTTTGGCTCATATGTGATACTGCGTACTTTAATGACGTATGCGGAAGGCCGACGTTGAGGTTGGTCAGTGCAGGGTGACATTGCTCCAGCCATACCTTCCAAGCTTGAATTGTCTATTCGACAGGTGGGCGAACACACATTTAGCATCTTTCTGAAAATACTGCTATCTAGTTATCCGAACGCCAGTCAGAGTAAGCCGACGTGCTGGTTACCAGCTATCGATGATTTTGTGGATTGCTTGGACCAACCCAAGTTATTCTGAACACGCACACTAAGGTCAAGTTTGACGAATGATCGCTGCAGTGCTTGCTTTCCCAGCTTGTAGGAACAGGTACTCTGGTGTCGTATGGAGAGTCCCTTGCATTCGTCCACATTGAACTGGAAAAGCTTTCGAGTTGACCAATAACGCACCATATCCAGGTCACAATGAAGTAAATTCTGGTCGGCATCCTCCTGAATCCGGCCCCGTATCTTGATATTGTCAGCAAACCGCAAAAAATTAGAAGTGATTTTCCGTGCAAGGTAGTTGATGAATAGCAAAAACTATCGTTGGCCTAGAACTGAGCGCTGATGCAAAACAGACTCTACAGGTATGGGTTCAGATAAAGTATTCCGGACTCTGACCGCTAATTTTCGTTACAGGGGAACGTTGGTGATTCAGCTCCAGAGAGCGTCACTGATCCTTAATACTGAAGCTTAGAAAGGAGAATCCGATGATCTAGCCGATGGAATGCCTTCGATAAATCCAGGTAGGTCAGAGTAGCGGCCACTCCAGCGTTAGCTGACTCGGTCTAACTACGTGCGATTAACAGATTCGTTGTGCAAGATTACCTCTGACGAAAGCCGTGTTGCTCGGGTGCAATAAGGTTACACTATTTTAGATAACACACCAACACATCGGCAAAGCTGGATTCCGTGGCTTTGGATAATACAGAGCGAAGTGACACTGGGCGACAGTTTGAGGACTCAGTCCCGCTTCCGCCTTGGTGACTTGGAGTAATTATTCCAAGCTCCCACAATGCAGGAATCTGATTCTGGCCTAAGCAACGCTGAAAGAACATGGCCAGAAGTTTTGCCATTGTCTTGCTACTGCTCCCAGTGCTCTTAGGCGAATGGTATCGACTCCCGAGGAACTGTGTTTGCCTAGACACTTCAGCTTATGAAATACAGCTTCGGCAGTAAAAGATATATGGGTGATGCCTGGAGGTGGAATAACAAAAGTTTGAAGATGGCCTGATGGTAAGACCCAGTGAAATGTGGGAGCATATTGCGTTCATAACGCTTTTTCTGCTTCTATAGCTGTCTTAGTTACCTCATCAGTCGTCCGGAGCGGAGGAATTCTCTACCCCACCTTACGACGGCCATTGACATACTTGTACAGCACTTTGTGGTTAGCGCTGAAAGTTTTCGCCATATTCTGCTGATATGTGACTCTCCACCTCTGAGCAGTTGAGTGTAGTGGTTAGTATGGGCTAGGTAATTGTCCCAAATATCTGGCGTTGATGATGAGCTGCACTCTCGCCAGGATGCGTTGCGTACTATCATCCATTCTCTAGTTCTGCTCCTCACGAAAGAAACGGTTTTGGGCGATTGGCAATCCCTTGTCTCTGAGGCATTCATAAACAGTTGATTGAATTTGCTGACGAATTCAAGCCAAACGATTTCCAGGCG